AGCTCCTTGAAGATAATGTGTCCCACATCAATCTTGATGTCCGAAATGAAGCATGCAATTATGAGGGCCTTTTCAATGTTGATGTCTGTCTCATTCCTAGTCGGCGTCAGACGGGAGCAAACAAAGCTGAGCCAATATCGGGCCTCCTGGGTGAAATCCCGTTTGTAGATCTTGTGGCACGGGTCAATCCAGGAAGGGGTTCCCTTTGCTATGACAGGTGCTATCCAAGCACGCTCGTTATCTTTGCTGGTTACTTTTGCATCATATTCAGCTATGCCTGACGACCATTCCTCAAAGAATAGATCATTGATTGTGCCTGCATCACAGAGAACCTGAACCCCTCGAACTAGAATGGAGTCCAAAAATATCCTATTCCGCCCTTGCTCAGCATTTCTTGAGGCAGCATAAGAAGCATAGAACTCCCTCACAAGTGTTTCATTGTAATCATGTAGGGCATCCGTGAAGAATCCCCATTTCCTCTTCTGAATGTTTTCAATTATGTGAGGGTAGTTCTCTTTCAGACCATTTAGGCTTAACTGCTTCTCCTCGAGAATGTTTCTCTTTTTATCCTCTCTTTGTATAGGTTCCATGAGCCTGGGACCCCAAACCTCAAATCTTCCCTGCTCTTCCACCTTGCTTCAGCTAGTAGGTCAACTGATGGCAGGATGTCCATATGTGCCCCCTCCTCTTCAGGCTTAACTGCTTCTCCTCGAGAATATTTCTCTTTTTTATCCCCTCTTTGTATAGGTTCATGAGCCTGGGACCCCAAACATCGAATCTTCCCTGCTCTTCCGCCTTGCTTCAGCTAGTAGGTCAACTGATGGTAGGAAGTCCATCTGTGCCCTCTCCTCTTCAGACTGGAAGGAGTGTTCAGAAGTGTTGCAGGTGGTTTCTGGCCGTTGACGTTTAGACTGTTGTGCTTGTTGGTTCAGAGCAGCTCTTTTCTTTCCACGAGTAGGTGGTGATCGCATTGCAATAGATTTCCTTGGTGCCATTCCAGATATCGGAGCAAGACGGAGGTGAAATCTGAGTTATGAGCGAGGTAAATTCCTTAATTCCGATCCTTGATATGTGATCTGGACATTTTGCGGTGGGCAAGTGGTCGCATAACACATTATGCAGTCGCTAATGTGTTATGTGATGATTTTAGAGCTGAGTTATTTACCTCCATTATGCGATGCATTATGCGATCGCATAACTGCTATGCGGACCGCAGAACTTGAACTCTTACCGCAATTTTCAGACCCAAATTCCCCAAATTCTCTGATCGTGTCTGCGACCACTATGCGGTTCGCAAAGTCATTATGCGATCGCATAGTTGCCAAAAACCCCTGATCCACCAATTTTATTTTTATTTTTTTACTTTAGTCCTTGCACTATGTTTTATGGTAAATTGGGCTACCTGCACTCTAATATACACGTCAAACTGTTCAATCACTGACAACTAAAAAAAAAAAAATTTACCACACATGGGTTGCCTCCCAAGAAGTACTTGATTTAACGTCGCGGCATGACGATGTTGGTCCCTTTTGGGCTACTCAGTGGTGGGGGTTGGACTATCCTTGAGAGACATTTGATCTACCAAGTACTTATCTCCTGTTGTGCCCAAGAAATGCTTAACCCGTTGGCCATTTAATTTGAAAGTTCAAAGTCTGTCCTCCGACTCTAATTCAATAGCACCGTAAGGGGACACATTCACAATTTTGAATGGGCCAGACCATTTGGATTTGAGTTTGCCCGGGAATAACTTGAGTCTCTAGTTGAAGTGCAAGACCAAGTCACCAGATTTGAATTCCCGCTTCATGATCTTCTTGTCATGAACAAACTTCATTCGTTCCTTATACATGGCTGCACTCTCATAGGCATGGAGATGGAATTCTTCCATTTCGTTGAGTTGTGTCATTCTCATATTAGCAGCTTCAGCCCAACCAAGATTCAACCTTTTCAGAGACCACATGGCTTTGTATTCAAGCTCCACGGGCAAATGACACGCCTTACCAAAGACTAACCGGTACGATGAGGTGCCTATGGGAGTCTTAAATGCGGTGCGATATGCCCACAATGCATCATCTAGCTTCCATGACCAGTCAGTCCTGTTTGCATTGACAGTTTTTGCTAGGATGTTTTTAATCTCCCTGTTGGAAACTTCAACTTGACCACTCGACTGAGGATGATAAGGTGTGGCCACCTTGTGCTTTACGCCATAATTTTCGAGCAGCCCGGTGAAAGCCTTGTTGAAGAAATGAGAACCACCATCACTAAGGATGGCCCGGGGAGTACCAAACCGCGTGAAAATGTTCTTCCTTAAGAATGCGGTCACACTCCTTGCCTCATTGTTGGGCAAGGCGATTGCCTCAACCCACTTGGATACATAGTCCACTCTCACCAAGATATATTTCATGCCAGAAGAACTCATAAAGGGACCCATGAAATCAATCCCCCACACATCAAAGATCTCGACCTCCATTACAAAATTCATAGGCATCTCATGCCTTTTAGATATTGATCCTTGCCTTTGACATTGCTCACAATTCTTGACCATTTGATTCGCGTCATGGTAGATAGATGGCCAATAATAGCCACATTCAAGCACTTTCGCGGCCGTCCGATTTCCTCCATGATGACCCCCAACCTGGGAGTCATGGCATGCTTTGAGAATTGGCATTACTTCATCCTCCGAAACACATCGTTGAATGATGTTGTCAGCACAAATACGAAACAAGAAGGGCTCCTCCCAATAGTATTGCCTACACTCCCGCAAGAACTTTTTCTTTTGATATGTTTCTAATCCATCGGGGACAAGGTCGCTTACCAGATAGTTAACAATATCGGCATACCAAGGAGAGAATGTGTCAGACAATGCCAATATATGCTCATCTGGAAAAGCATCATTGATGCCAAAGTTCTCTTTTGGCCTCCCTGCTTCTTCAAGCCTAGATAAGTGATCCGCAACTTGGTTTTCTGTCCCTTTTAATCCTTGACTACAAAGTCAAATTCTTGCAACAAAAGGACCCATTGAATCAATCTTGGCTTGGTATCCTTCTTTGCCATAAGATAGCGAAGAGAAGCATGATCAGTGTAGACTATCACCTTGGATCCTAACAAATAGGCCCGAAAGTTTTCAAAAGCATAGAAAATGGCAAAAAATTCTTGCTCGGTCACATTATAATTTATTTGAGCACCATTGAGAGTCTTTCATGCATAGTAGACAGGATGAAGGATTTTGATATGCCGTTTACCAAGAACCGCCCCAAAGGCTACACCACTGGCGTCACACATGAGTTCAAATGGAAAAGACCAATCCGATGTGACAATAATAGGTTTCGTGGTGAGCTTTTCTTTCAATTACTCAAATGCTTTGAGACACTTTTCATCAAATACAAACGTAGCATCTTTTTCAAGGAGCTTGCACATGGGGTTTGTAATTTTTGAGAAGTCCTTGATAAAATGCCTATAGAAGCCGGCGTGCCCCAAACAACTTCGGACACCCTTTACTGAAATGGGTGGAGGAAGCTTAGAAATGGTTTCAATCTTTTCTCGGTCAACCTCTATGCCTTGTTTGTAAATTTTGTGGCCCAAAACAATGCCCTCATCCACCATGAAGTGGCACTTTTCCCAATTTAGTACAAGGTTTGTTTCTTCACATCTTTTGAGCACTTGTCTAAGGTTGTCAAGACAATTCTCAAAGGAATCACCCACTACAGAGAAGTCATCCATAAACACCTCTAGGAAATCTTCCACCATGTCCGAGAAAATTAACATCATGCACCGTTGAAAGGTAGCCGGAGCGTTGCATAGCCCAAATAGCATCCAGCTAAAAGCAAAAGTCCCATATGGGCATGTGAATGTTGTCTTCTCCTGATCTTCCAATGCAATGTTAATTTGGTTATAGCCGGAGTATCCATCCAAAAAGCAATAAAATGACCTTCCCGCTAGCCGATCAAGCATTTGATCAATAAAAGGCATAGGGAAATGGTCTTTGCAAGTTGCACTATTGAGCTTCCGGTAATCCATGCAAAATCTCCATCCGGTCACAGTCCATGTTGGGATGAGCTCATTTTTCTCATTTTGGATAACGGTCATGCCTCCTTTCTTTGGCACACATTGCACCGGGCTCACCCAAGAACTATCAGCAATGGGGTAGACTACCCCGGCGTCTAGCCACTTGATGATTTCCTTCTTTACCACCTTCTACATGGACGGGTTTAATCTTCTTTAGTGCTCCACACTAGGTTTGCTTCCTTGCTCCAATTGTATTTTGTGCTCACAGATTCTGACGGGAATCCCTCGGATGTCCGCTATTTTCCACCCAATGTCTTGTTGATGTTCCCTTAGGACATTCAATAAATGATCTACCTGCACATCATTCAACAAGGAAGAAACGATTGCCGGTAAAGTATCATTAGAGGCAAGAAATTTATACCTTAAGTGTGGTAGAAGTGGCTTGAGTTCAAGTTGTGGTGGCTCAATAATTGAAGGCTTTGCTGGGGGAGTGGCTCTATTCTCTAAGTCAAGAGAAAGCTTCTTTGGTGCGTAAGTATAAGACCCACGTCCTTCTAATGCATTCATCGATTCCATGTACCCCTCCATGTTTTCACCATCAAAATTTACCAATATCATCGCCAAAGCCTCACCTAGGCATTATTCTTCCATCTTCATTTCACTTGCGTCCTCTACCTCATCAACAACATCAATGACTGAGATGCCTTCATATGCATGTGGCAACTTCATACCCTTACTTGCTTGGAAGGTGACCTGTTCATCATTAACTCAGAACTTGATTTTATTTCCTTCCGAATCCATAAGTGCTCTTTCGGTAGCAAGGAATGGCCTCCCCAAGATGATAGGGATTTCCTTGTCAACGGCACAGTCAAGGATCACAAAATCGGTCGGAAGGAGGAACTTTCCCACTTTCACTAGGACATCATCAATAATTCTCACTGGTCTTTTGATTGAACGATCGGCCATTTGCAACCTCATGCTTGTAGGTCTCGGCATGCTTAACCCTGCTTGCTTGTAAATGGCAAGAGGCATAAAGTTAATGCCCCATTGTCAAAAAGAGCCCTTGCAAAATCTCGCAAGCCAATAGTGCATGGAATGGTGAATGCTCCCGGGTTTTCTTTCTTTTCAACGGTGGTTGTTGCAATAATGGAGCTAACCCCATGAGTCACATTCACCACTTCATTCTTGGTGGTTCTTTTCTTGTTTATCAAGTCCTTCAAGTATTTAGCAAAACCCGACATCTCTTGAAAGGCTTCCACAAATGGTATGTTCACCGACAATTGCTTGAGAATGTCATAAAATTTCTCGAATTTTCTATCTTCAACCCTCCTAGCAAGTCTTTGAGGGAACGGAGGGGAAGGTCTAGGAATTTGTGCTAGAGATTTTGGTGCCTCTTTCACCTTTTCCTTTACCTTTTCATGATTTTCTTCTTGGACTTTTACTCCTTTGGGAGCTTTTCAACTTCAATAACAATCGGCACAAGATCATCTACTCCAACAATTTTTTCATTTTATCCTTGAATTATCTTCCCGCTTCGCGTGGTGATTGCCATGCAATGAGAAGTTGGACCACTCCCATTACCTTTAGGGTTTGCAATTGTGTCACTTGGGAGTGTGCCATGTTTTTCATTGTAGTGTTGCCTCTTTCTTGATTTTACAATATTCTTTTAAGCATGCTCTTCAACTTGAACTCACTTGAAGAACCTTCCTTATAATGCGAGGAGTTAGAGTATTGCCCCTTTGGTGGAGCATAGGGCTTTGAACTCCGGTTTGCATAGTTATTGTTGCTGTTGCTCCAATTACCTTGACTTGATCCACCTTGATCATTGCGCCGCTGTTGATGGCCTTGCCCTTGTGGGTTAGGCCTCTGTTGATTTTGTTGGCGATAACCACCTTGAGAATTATGGACATACTTTACCTCCTCGCAATCTTCGTTTGACAAGGCTTGCACATCTTCCACAACATTTACCTTTTTAGTTTGGTTTTCAGTGCACATCTTGGTTAACACATTAATGTTTGTAGCAAGACCGGCAATTACTTGATCTCTCTCTTGGTTCTCCTTAATCATGTTGGTCAAAGAGGGAGTACCGTATGCAATTCCACCCGTGGTATCTTCCGAGTGCCAAGCTTGATTGTGTTCTGCCATCTTGTCGAGAATTTGTGTGATCCTTGTGAATGTTTTGTCCATAAAAGATCCATCCGTCGCATTCTTTTCTATGGATTGGTTCAATGGATCCAAACCCATGTAAAACTTTTCTAACAAGATTTTGTCCAGAAAATCATGATTAGGCGACATCACTAGGTATAGCTTGAACCGATCCCATGCCTCATGTAGGTGTTCTCCCGGTAGTTGCTTGAAGACGAAAATTTTAGCCCTGAGCTCGGATTTCTTGCTTTGTGGGAACCATTTGGCTAGGAAAGCACGAACTAGTTCAGGCCAAGAGTGAATGGAGTGAGGTGGTAGATTTTGGATCCATTTCCTTACCTCTCCAACTAGTGAGTACTTGAATAACCTCAGTCTTAGGGCATCATCTGACACGTTGCTATGTTTGTGCATCGCACACACACCCAAGAAGTTTCTAAGATGTTGTGTTGGATCATCATCGGTAGAATTCCTATAAAACCCCTCTGCTTTAAGCATTAGGATCAAACCATGTTCCACCTTGAAGGTAGAAGCCTCAACTCGAGGAGGGACAATGGCATTTGTGTCCTCGATGTACTCATCTATATCCACAAAAGGATTCTCTTCTTCATCATACTCTACCATGTTTATCTAGCACACCAAGCAAAGCAATCAAACTGTGATGAAAAAAAAAACGTGAAGTAAAGCACACACTAAATAGTAATTTCAAACCGTATTCCCCGGCAACGGCGCCAAAATTTGATACGCTCAAATTATACCTTAATAAAGAGTGTAAAGCGGTCGATGTCAAATATAATAACCCAACAAGGTTGGGGTCGAATACCACAGGGAATAGGTGTGAAAAGGTTACTTGAGTAGTGTGAAACTTGACTTAATTTGTAACTTTATTCCGTTAGCTAAAAAGAATGTTGTAATTGAGTGAAATGAAGACAAGTATAATATTGTGAGGTTGTAATTAATCTGATTAAGAAAACCAAGGTTGTGTCCCCATTGATGGAATGTAATGCTATCGGTGCTAATATGATATATTTCTAATGGAAGGTCCTTTGATATGCAAATAGTTTCTAAGTGACTACCCAATATTCCCCAATAGTTGGGTAATATCTACTCTTTAAGAGTTTCCCAAATGTAAAAGAGTTGCAATTGAAAATGACCAATTTATGCCAAATAGAACCCACTTATTCCTAGGCGATTCCATTAAACAAGGCTTAAAGCCTTGAGTTTTTGGTATTCAATTCTACCAAACCCTAGCCCACTTTTCCAAGTGAAGATAGAGTGAAATGGAATTAGTTAATGTTTGCAACCACTAACATCACATGAAGCATAAGAACTGAATAAATATCAACCAACCATTATATATATATTCAATGGTAAACACCCATTAACATTACACCCATCTAGGGTCCACAACCTTAGTAATTAAAACTAGCTACTCATACTGAAATCTAAGAACAAAGCGATAAATAGAATATCCAAAGATACAAAATTCTTTCTTCAAAAGTATCCAAAGCAATGGTGCATTCAATGCTCTAAAAGTAGTCTCTTTTTCTGACTCAGCCCCACACAAAAACCCAAATAAATCTATTTATAGTGGGCTAAAAGTCAAAGCCAAAATTGGATAAAAATAACGCTACAGAGCAGTTATGCGACCGCATACTGGTCGCAGATCACGTATGCGGTCCGCATATTCTTCGAATTCATCGCATAATCTCATGTATCCAAATCCAGCTCTTGACCGCATTTCAATTATGTGGTCCGCATAATCTTTATGCGATTGCATATTCCTCCGCAGAAGTGCTTCTCAGCTTTCTTGATTTCAGTTATGCGATCACTATGCGGTCCGCATAATGAATCACATTTTCTCCTCTTAAGTTAACCAAAAATATGCTTTAGTCTGCGATGGTTATGCGGTCCGCATATGCTTTATGTGACCGCATACTTGCATCATTTCTGCCCTTTTGTGGCTTTTTGACTTCTTTTCCATGTTTTTAGGTCCTGAAGCCTCATGCAATGCAAAACACCAAAACTTCATAAGAATTAACTAAAAATACATTGAAAGATGAGCTAAGGTCTATGTAATTGGTATCAAATGTGCCGAAATTCTACGGCACATCAACACCTCCAACTTAAACTCTTGCTTGTCCTCAAGCAACTAGAACAAAAATTATCCTAATCTAAACTTTTACCGACAATTCACGAACAGTAGTGTCCGTAGATGGTATTTACTGTCAGTTAACAAGCATGTAACTTTATTTATTGATCCTTCATGGAAGACAAATATCACTTAACAATGCGACCAATCAACTTGTGAACTTTGAGCCTCAACCAAACTGACAAAATATTACTCATAGCTAAGTGCACTCGTATCCTACTTCAAGAACCTAACTTCTGTTAAATCTTGCAGTTCATGCACGTTCGCAACAAAAAAAATCCCCAACTTATACATATTTACAGGGGGTGCAATCAAACACTCTTTCACTCGGAACGAAAGCTACATGTTACAAGTATCAGTCCATATGCCTGCCCTTATTTTAACTTGTTGCTATCTCAGGAATGATTGGCTATAGATCACCTAGGACTTTTCACAGGTTGTATTGTAGGTTTCGGGACGAGTTGAATGAATATCTGGGAACGTAGTGGCTATACCCACCTTGAACTCTACATATACTTTGCTTCTTTACTACATAACATTGATTTACCTCGAGTTACCGACAATGAATCACCTCAAAGAGTTTCTTCAATTTCTACAAGACTCCACTTTTCCTTCACTTTTTTTTCTTTTTTTTTTTTTGTATTTCCACCATTTTTTTTAAAGCATTTCGTTTCGGAGCTCGAGTTTCTTCATATATATATACAATGTCAACCTTTCCAATCTCCACTTTGTACTGGCACCCCCAACTTAGGCTTTTAGCCTCATTCTTACTCGTCCAAGGAGGGTTAGGTTCAAAAGGTTAGCTAGCAGTCACAAAGATAGCCTAAGATCATCTCAGCACCCAACCATTAGCATGAGATTTTCACAAAGAAACCAATCGGGCAAGTTCTAGACATCACAAGTTAAGCATGCGTGTTATTTACACAAATCCTCACTCACTCACGGTGCATGAACTGTTCGACTCAACATAGTTTCAGCCCTCAAGTGAATGCAAGGCAACTCACAACTTTTATCACATGATATGTAAGATTCTGAGTAAACATAAAATAAAAGAGCGAGCCTCAAGTTCACAAGAATGACTAACCATACAAAAAATTTATTAAAGAAGGAAGGGTACAATTTATTCATCAAAAATTTCCTTACATGCCTGAGACTGGACAATCGCACCAAACAAGTCAAAACTTTCCATGCTACTGCCATGGTTCTACTATTACACCCTTGGAAAAGAACCCGGCGTAGAAAAACCAAGGGGAATTCATTACTAGCTATATGCATAATTTTTCATACAACTATTTACACAAAATATCTACCCCCCACCCCTAACTTCAAGAGCATGCATTGTCTTCAATGCACAAAAAGTGGAAAGTAAAGTTTAGAGGCTTCCTGGGGCGCACTAGGCGCTTGGAGGGTCAGGAGCATGCTGGGCAACTGTGGGATCAACTCCAGACTCTGTAGCACTAGCAAGCGCAACCTCAGAATGTGTGGTAGTGGCCTCTGAGGCTGGAGTATGAAGCTCCACCTGCTGTGTGGATGAAGCAAGAGTTTGGGAGATGCTGGACTCTCCTAGTGATGCCTGTGGGGTAGCTGGATGTACCCTGGCGACCATGTCAGCAAGTGAATGTGCAATTTCTTTCTACACGTCTACTTCCTCTGCAACTTGAGCCTTTGTAGAAGCACCCTCTGTAAAAGTAGCCACCCGCTTAACCTTATAGTTCCGTTGACCCTCAATTTTCTATGCCAATGCTTCCTCATCGATTTTCTCATCTTCAGTCGCTCCATCATCAGGTTCTCCTTCCGACTCTCCGGAATCATTCTCTGAAGGAGTGTCAATGTGGACAATGGCAGCTGGAGTCTTTGAAGTCTCCGCACCCTGTGCCTCCGGGTCTGTCATGAGGTTGGAGAAGTCCAAATTTAGTCTCGGAATGGAGGTGCTTGTACCCTGCTCATCGCCCTCCGGAAGGAGAGAAGTCAAATCGAACTCTAAGTTCTACAGCTTATGCAGCTCTATTTTCAGCTTAGTAACACCTTTCCTAAGTTGTGGCATATCTGCCCTTTTGTGGATTTTTGACTTCTTTTACATGTTTTTAGGTCCTCAAGCCTCATGCACTGCAAAACATCAAAACTTCATAAGAATTAACTAAAAATACATTGAAAGATGAGCTAAGGTCTATGTAATTGGTATCAAATATGCTCAAATTCTACGGCACATCAATGATGTGACAACAAGTGATAACAAAGATTGAGATACAATATGGAAATGAGTGAATATGACTGAGTATGTGATTGCAATTTAAGCAAATAACTCAACAGCAGAAATGACATCAACGAGTCCCAAGAGAATAAGCATATAACCTAAACATGGTTTCTAACATGGATCATAACTCAATTACTCTAGCACGTAAAAATTTCATGGATACAAAAAGATTAGGTAGCTACATAGTACCACAGAAACAACCGATTCACAATTCACATTGTGCATGCCCACACGCCCGTCACCTACCATGTGCATCACCTCAACACCAAACACACAACACGTATATTCAGGGGTTCATACCCTCATCATCAAGTTTAGAAGTGTTACTTACCTCGAACAAGTCGAATCCAATACCGAGCAAGCCAAACAATACTCCAAAAATGCCATCCCGCCTGTACCGACCTCCGAACGGCTCGAAACTAGCCAAAATCAACTCAAGAACATCAAATAATGCCAATGGAAACAAACTCAATCGATAAAGGTGGAATCTTTATTTAAAAGCCTAAAGTCAACCAAAAAGTCAAACCCGGGCCCGCACCATGAAACCCAAAAAACTCAAAAAATCTGACAACCCATTCAATTACGAGTCCAACCATACTAGTTTCACTCAAATCCGACTCCGAATTGATGTTCAAAACTCAAAAATTCACTTTATGAAATTTTAGACAAAAACTCCAAAATTTCACTTTGAAATCATCAATAAAATGCCAAAAACAAGTAGATAACACTTACCCCAAACCATGGGGTGAATATTGCCTCAAACATCGCCCAAATCCGAGCTCCCCAACTCAAAATATGACCAAATGAACAAACCCTCGTTATTATATGTTTTTGCCCAGATGTTCTGCTTTGTTTTGCATTCCGAACAATCCCAAAACTCATTTCTGATGCCTCTAATAGATTCCTTGTGAAATTTCAGTCAAGTTAGGCTTTTGAATCACTCCATTTGGCCTTGTAATGAAGGAGATATATTGGCTTCAATATTTAGAAATAGTACAGATTTTTAAATACGAATTCAGTAGCAATTTCGTAATTAATCTTGTAACGACCTAGTCGGTCTTTTTGAGAGTTATAGCTCCGATCCCCTATTTAGTGCTTTCCCCGTATCTGTTGTAGCTTATGTGACTTACCGGTATCTGTTACAGATAGTGGCTTCTCAGGCCCAGAGATCAAATGTTGCGCCTACTTCTTCCAGTAAGCCAGGGGAATCTACTAGTT